GGGGGATGATTCATGCTATGACTCATGGTTGAGTTTTTGCGCAGGAAGGGAAGTAGGTGGTCCACCATTGACCCTGGAGTCCACATCAGACCCATAGACAAGGACCCCTTGAAATTAATGCTCACTCATTAAAATGAAGTGACTTGTGGAGCTGGTGGTCTTCCTTTGCCTTGCCTTTCCTGGAGCCTCCTGGGTCTAAGGGGAGGGTGCAGTCTTAATTCATTTTGCCGAGTCCCTAAGTAGGTGGTTCTTATAGCCCCTTGGGATTTCAATTAACTGAGAACCTTCTTTGTGTGTGAGAGTCCTTGTTTTAGCAGGAATTTCTTTTCATGTCTAATTATTTTCTCATACTTCATAGTCAGAAAGAAAAGGCAGCAGTTGTTTCAGTGTAGCAAACGCTTTGTGATGTTTGGTGAGCCAGCTCTCTACTGGTGGGTAAGCTTTTCAGCGAAGAACCTGGCCTCTTCATTTTGTGTTTCCAGTGCCTGCCGTGCAAAAACATGAACCGAACCGAATCTTTGAAGCCATCTTTTCTCTGTGTCTTGAATCTTTGAAGCCATCATTTTTTCTGTCTGTGTCTACCCCTCTGGAATGTTTTAAAGGAAAAACATGTTTGCTTCAGCTGCAGACAGGTTATTTTTGAGGCATACCAGTCAGTCCTTTACAAGTGTAATCCCGCACGTCTGCAGGGATGCACTGTGAGACCTTTCATTTCCCAAGAGCAGGAACCACACTGCCTCCGCTCTCCCACATTCCGAGAAGGCCCCCTGGGACTAGCTTTCCTTGTATTGAGAAACCTACCTTCTGAGGCAAACCAGCCCTGAGAATTGGACATGGTTGGGTGGTGTTAGCTGTTCTCAAAATGAGTGTTTAAAAAGCCCAGGAGGACTTCCCTGGTGGTGCAGTGGTTAAGAATCTGCCTGCAGATGCAGGGGACACAGGTTTGAGCCCCGGTCCGGGAAGATCTCACATGCCACGGAGCAATTAAGCCTGTGCACCTCAATTACTGAGCCCACATGCCATAACTACTGAAGCCTGCGCGCCTAGAGCCCGTGCTCCGCAACAAGAGAAGCCACCGCAATAAGAAGCCTGCACACAGTGACGAAGAGTAGCCCCCGCTCGCCGCAACTAGAGAAAGCCTGTGCACAGCAACGAAGACCCAATGCAGCCAGAAATAAATAAATAAAATAAATAAATGTATTAAAAAGAAATAAATAAAAAGCCCAGGAGATTTGACAATGCGGGTCCAGACACTAGTTCCCCAGCCTGGTGACTCGGGAAGCAGACCCTGTGTCCTGCATCCTGTATATTTTCCTTCCTGTACCCAGTTCATGCTTTTTTACTTTTATTCATTCTTTCCCTTGCTGCTCTTAATAAGGCATCTTTCTGAAAGTGTAGAAGACTTAAGTGAATTTTTCTATATTTTTAGCTGTTGCCTTGTCTTGTGTTTGACCAAGAAAACCCCAAAGCAAAAAACTCCCAAACAGGGCACCCTGTTTGGATAATATGATTTTTGCTTGCATGTTCATTCCCAAGATCCTCACTTGACTGAGGGGCATGGAGATTAAATTTTTCATTCTGTACCATTTTGTATGATTTGAATTGTTATCCTATGCGTGTTATTACTTTAAAATACAGTTTATATACATTTCTTGTCACTTTCTGTGTATTCAGAGATCCTTTTAATTTTGGAAGAGCTAAGTTTTAATTATAAGTAAAAATGACTATTTGCTTATAGAAGGGATCCTTTTATTTTTCATTTTTTTGATAGGTTGCAGGATTTTTTAGAATATGGGCCTAAAAATAAACTTTCTACACTGGGATTATGGCTTTCTCTCTGTACTCTGCCCTTTGTACTGGGAAAACCCAGCCCTGATTCCTGAGATAATTCAAGCTTTCTGGGCCTTCGTGAATGGTGGTGCTGGGACACAGCCACCCTGCCGTCACATGCTGTGTAGCCCTGCTGGGACCTGATTACATATGAACTACTTATGTGAGGTGCTGGAATTAAGTGCACTGAAAATCAAACGGGCAGAAACACTGATAAGTTGAACCAATGCTTAAATGTTGGAACCCACAAATATGTCCTGCTTTGGAATTTCTTAGGGTGAGACATTTATGGATCATTGCTTTCATGAACTATCAAATTATACTTGTGTCAAAGATCCCTTGCTTAGGGCTTCCCTGGTGGTGCAGTGGTTGAGAGTCTGCCTGTCGATGCAGGGGACACGGGTTCGTGCCCCGGTCCGGGAAGATCCCACATGCCGCGGAGCGGCTGGGCCCGTGAGCCATGGCCGCTGAGCCTGCGCGTCCAGAGCCTGTGCTCCGCAACGGGAGAGGCCACCGCAACGGGAGAGGCCACAGCAGCGAGAGGCCCGGGCACTGCCAAAAAAAAAAAAAAAAAAAAAAAAAAAAAAAAGATCCCTTGCTTAAGCTGTGTGAATTTAATGATCTGGATAATATTGCTAGAAGAATTTCTGTCTTCCTTTCCAGCTTTAGTAAATCCAGCAGACTCACAGGGGTTACTTACCTGCCTACGATTCAGTCTGCTTTTCACGTCCTTAAATAGCCCTGTGGCTGTTCTTGGCTACCTGGTCTTTGGTTTTAGGCTTGCGTGTGAAAATAAGTGACAGGAACAGTTGAAGTGCCTGTTCATACCTCCTAGTGGTGTTAGAAGTTTCCAAAACAAATCCCACTCTAGTGCCCAGGGACTGAACCTGGGCATCAGGTGATAATAGGCCCTCAGGGAGGATCCTAGAGTTGGTTGCAGCTTCGCTCAAAATAAACAGACTTCGGCGCTGGGAAGGCGCCCCGTTCAGGGAGCTGGCAAGTGGTATTCTTTGAAGGTCGGGAGCCTTTGCGTCCCCTGGGAGGGTGAATAGAGAGGTGGAAGAGCTGGGAGAAGGCCCTGGGTGAAGAGGTGAGGCTCTCTGCTTGTGGCTGGTGTGGTCATCTGAGCCTCCACACTCAGCTCTCAGCAACTTCCCCTTTTCAGGTGCCTACCCTTGGTATTTACAAAAGCTAACCACCCCTCATCACCAAGGCTACCATTTAGCACATGACTGTCAGAAGAGAAAGATACAAATAATCCTCTCAACATCTAAATGACAGATATGCAAACTGTTCCCAGCCTGCCATGGAAAATGTGTTGGGAAGACACTCGGCTGGCTGGCAGGGTGAGGCTGTAAAGACCTTGCGTCTTCCTCCTCCTCCAGCTGTGGACTGTAGTTTTAAAAATCATAAAAGATTTTTCCTAAAGGTCCAAAATCGTAGCTCATGTCATTTTCCCAGATCTTGGCTGTATTTTGTTAATCCAGTGTAAGTCCTTCTCAATGACGTTGTATCTGAACTTTATGTGCAGCCCTATGAATTATGGTTGATGCCAGCTATGGGGGCTTTCCCCTTTCTCTTCTTTCATCTCAGGACATTTAAATTGGAAGCTTAAACCTTCCTCAAAAAGAATTTAAATTTCAGCCCTCTTTTCTATGTGCTGTAAAATTGATGGCTCAGCAAAGATGAGTTCAGAGGGAGTGCCAACCTGGAATCTTGGTGTAAGGGAAAGCTTTGGGGAAATTGTAGAGCTGGTTCAGAGTCCTGACTGTGCCTGTTAGCAGTTGCAAGGCCTTGTACCAGTTACCTAACTTGTGAGCCTCAATTTCCTTATCTGTAAAGTGGGTATGCTGTCCACATCATGTCATTCTCGTGAGACCTAGGGGAGGACGTTTCTAAGTGTGTTTCTGCATCCCTCTGCCCCTTTATGTGTAGAATGAGCTAAAATAGCGGGGGGCACGATCTGCCCTGGGAGCAGGACAGGCTGAAGGTGAAAGAGGAAATTGTGTTTATTTGGGCAAAACCATCATTTCCTTAAAGTCCACAGCCGTCAGCTCTTAAATAGGTCACCGAAAAGAACATCAGAGTGTGGTTCTCGGCATGTGAGGGTGACCCCGGGGGCAGCTGTGGGTCAGCCCTGTATTTGGAGTTGCTTGTTGTGCGGAGCCCGCGCCGCTCACCGGGCTCACATTCTTGTGGTTCACCCGATGGAAAATGCCGAGGGGAGGTTTACTTTCTCTGGAGTTCGTCTTTCAATGGAGTTGGGCTGATATAATATCATTTGCCATATCGTGAAGTAGTTTGCAAATGACCAAGTGAAATTCTTGAATCATGCCTGAAATATTCCTTTTTCTGATTATTAAGCTGCGGATGAATGCCTCCTCTCAGTTTCTCTTTCTTTCTCATCGTGGTAAAATACATATCAGAACGGTGACCATTTTAACCATTTTTAAGCACACAGTTCTGTGGCATTAAGTGCTTTCACATTTTTATGCAACCATCACCACCGCCCAACTCCAAAACTTTTACTTTCCCAACTGACACTCCCAGGTCCCCCCGCACCCCCCAGCCCCTGGCGACCACGATTCTCCTTTCTGTCTCTGAACTTGGCTGTTCTAGGGGCCTCACGTCAGTGGAATCATACAATATTTGTCACTTTGTGACTGCCTTTCTTCGCTCTTTTTTTTTTTTTTTTCTTTAACAAATCTCTTTTACTCTGTCTTATAGTTTCCATTACTCCCTGCCAGGGACTATTCTACAAACCCTTGCTTTTATCTGAGATTCTCTTGCAAATTTGCACTCTACCTACGTAACTGTTTGTATATGATCTTTGCATTTTTACCCTGTTGAAGGAAAAAACCAGTCACAGGAAGTGATTTGATGGAATGTTTATTTTATTCTTAGAAATAGCTCTTTACCGAATCAAGATTTTAGGTGACCTTACACTAAGTACAGAATCAGATCCTATCTTTGCCTAAAGGGTGTATTCTCAGAAATAAAACTTCAAGTTCTGCCCTCCCCCACTGCACCCCTCACTCCCCAAAGAAGAGAACACAGGGTTTGTGTACAAGGCTGGTAATAGCAGAGAGGAGAGGCCAGGAAACGCGGACTGTGAACATCGTTTGAGGCGCTTCCATTCAAAGGTAACCTCTCAGCCTTTCTCCTCGTAGGTGGTGTACCTTGAAATCCAAACCGGGGAAGAAGAATAAAGAACGAGGAGAAATTGAGGTTGACATCCAGTTTATGAGAAACAACATGACCGCTAGCATGTTTGACCTTTCCATGAAAGACAAGTCTCGGAATCCCTTCGGGAAACTGAAGGACAAGATCAAGGGGAAGAATAAGGACAGGGCGTCAGATACCGTGTCAGCCATCCTCCCCAGCGTGACGCCCTCGGCTGACAGCGATGACGAGTCTCCTTCGAAAGACAAGAAGAAGAAGTCAAAGCTCAAGACCTTCTTTTCCAGGCCCAACCTGCAGAGAGCACCACTTTCCCAGTCCATGTCTGTCCTGCCGACTGCAAAGTCAGACAAAGTGCTGCTTCGTCCTGGAGACTTTCAGTCCCAGTGGGAGGATGAGGACAATGACGAGGACAAGTCCTCCTCTGCCTCGGACGGTGAGTTTCCTTCCCCTCCTCCTTACTTGGCCCTTCTCCCTCAGCTGAGCCTACTTTGCTTTGGGAGAGAAGAAACAAACAAATCTTAGGAGAAAGATTTTAATTCAGCTCCTCAGTTATTACAGTGATGGTGATGCTGGTGGAGGGGATGGTGGGGGGGTAGTGGTGATGCTGCTTTTACTGGTGGTGCTGGCGCTGGAGCTGCGCATGGTGGTCACGGTAGTGGTGGTGATGATGAGGGGTAACCTTGGTTAGGAAGCCTTCTCTATTTCTAAGCCCTCTGGTTTCTAGGAATGTGCGAATTCCTTTTCCATAACATTTGGCTCTGTAACTGATGTACCTTAGTACAAGCTTTGGGGGCTAACAGAATGAATGCATGCAGAGTTTCTTTTTTTTTTTTTTCTTTGCGGTACGCGGGCCTCTCACTACTGTGGCCTCTCCCGTTGCGGAGCACAGGCTCCGGACACGCAGGCTCAGCGGCCATGGCTCACGGGCCCAGCCGCTCCGCGGCATGTGGGACCTTCCCGGACTGGGGCACGAACCTGTGTCCCCTGCTTCGGCAGGCGGACTCTCAACCACCGCGCCACCAGGGAAGTCCCGAGTTTCTTGTTTTAATTAAGGATAAAACCATGGAAACTTACAGTAATTCTGATATTTCATTAATTCGTTGGGTACTTATACTGAGCTCTCGTGGAATACATTCCTAATGAAAGCTGAGAAATCCAGTTCCATTAACTCTGAATTAACTGGGTATTTTGAAATTCAGTCTCAGTGACCAGATCCCTATTATTGGCCAGATTCTGCACCTCTACCAAGAACACTGCCCTTTTCCTTGCTTCCATGCATGGCTTCTCAACCTCAGCACCATTGACAGTTTGGGAGGATAATGGTTTGTTGTGGGGGCCTCCCTGTACTCTGTAGGAGCTTTAGCAGCATCCTGGCCTCCACCTGCTAGATGCGGGTAGCACACCCCACCCAGCTGTGACAACCAAAAATGCACTCAGATGCGTGAGGACAAAAGCCACGCCCCCCACCCCCCACCCCCGTGTTGCGAACCCTTCCCTTAGCTTCTCACTCCCTTGGTTCTTGGTTCTTCTCCCACAGTCTTGTCTCACAAGGGAACGGCAAGTGTGGATCCTAAGCAGCTGAACCAGATCCACTTCAACCCCCCCAAGAAGGAAGGACTCTCCTTCCTGGGAGGGCTTCGGTCTAAGAATGACATCCTTTCCCGCTCGAATGTTTGTATCAACGGGAACCACGTCTATGTGGAGCAGCCCGAAGCCAAGAGCGAGACCAAGGGCAGCTCCCCGGCCTCCTCGCCATCCCCCCAGGGCCTCAGGAAGAAGCATTTGTTCTCATCTACAGAAAACCTGGCCTGTCGGCCTCTGAAGGAGCCTGGGGAAGGAGGTGCAGGGCCTTCCGAGTCTTCCACAAAGGACTTTCTCAAGTCCACGTCCCTGCCATCCTACCAGCCGCTGGCCAGTGGGGACCTTCGGGAGGACGCGGCTCTGGCAACCTTGGAGGCTGCGAAGGAAACCAAAGAGAGCAAGAAACAGGAGAACAAGAAGCCCTCTCTGCTCTCGCTGGTGACCGGGAAGAAGGACCCGGCCAAGGGCAGTGAAGGCGAGAGCCCGCCGGCCGCCCCCAGGAAGGAGAGGGAAGGCATGCCCGTGGCGGTCAGAGCCGGTGAGGACCAGCCGGGGCCTGTCGATGGCCCTGTGAAGAGATCAGACGAGGAGACTGCGGCCATTGTCTCTGGACGGGGCAGAGCCCCGAACCCCTTTGAAGACATGCAGATCCCAGAACCAGAAGCTGACCCAGAGCCCAAGCCTGCACCAGCACCACCTGTTCCCTCACCCGGGGCTCCCCGGACCAGAGCTGTGAAACCCCGGTGAGTCTCAGCCCCTCCCCGGGGCCCAGCGGCCATGCCTACGTTAGAGCAGACCTTGCTTGCTGGTCCGTAGTGGTCCCCGCAGAAATTGTTTTTAGCCAGCCCCTACCACTAGCCCGGCCCACCTGCAGAGACTGCAGTGATGTGCCCTGGCCCAGGGCCACTGCCAGCAGGCGTGGTCTGCCCCTTGCCCGACATTTTCCCTGCGGGCATCTTTGTCGCAAGCGTTTTCTCTGCACACATTTTTGCTTCTGGCGAAAGTACCTAGAACTGGTCTGTCCATCTCAGTGAGATAAGCAGAGCACAGTGGAATGCCCTGGTTTTGTATCAGATTCCGAGTGTCGTGGTCTGGGAGCAATACCAGGTTTCGGTGGTACGTGCAGACCGGGGTTTAGTAGGTTCTTCCCGTGAGTTCCCTTTGAGGCAGGTGTAATCTCTCCTCCTTGCACTTTGGTGTGGGTTTGCTGGCACAAGAGACCCTTGGTCCACTGTCAAGTGTGACTGGGAGGGTTCTTTGTGTGTTTCCTCTGCACGTTGTCTCACTAGCCGGGTGTTCTGCTTCTCAGCATGACTCACATTCACAGTGACGATATTCCTGTGCGCTGTGGGGTGGGAGAGACTTTTTTTTGAGATTCTGCCTACTTTGATTTCACAGACACACACACACACACACACACACACACACACACAGTATTCCTCTTCAAAATCTGCTTCTTGCTTTGTGGTGCACCTTTTATGGCTTTGCACTTTTTAGGTGCTTTTTCTTTATCACCAAAAGAGACTGCAGACTGTTGCTCTACCTGGATCTTTCTGTTTCTATTGCAACAGTCCTTTCTGTGGCAGATGTACTTGGTGATAAAATTGTGCCTTTTGTGGATTAAGTATTGGTGTTCCTTCTCAAGGTACTGCCCCCAATATAAAAAAGAGTTCTCGCCTTTGGAAAGACTGTATTTTTACATGTCTTTTGCCTCTCATGCTGCATCTGCAACTGACCTGCAGATTTTATTTTGTCCTTTTTGCAGACTGGAAGTGTCTCCAGAGGCTCAGCCCGCACCCATGCTCCCTCCTTCCAGTCTCTCTCCTCTCGTGTTCTCTGCTCTCCCTTCCAGTTCTGGTCAGACACCCGTCCCTTCTAAACTGGGGCATGATTCAGAGCCACAGTCCTCTGAATCTCCTCCTGGCTCCTCTTTCTCCTCTCCTGTAGCAGCCCCCATTTCCACATCCACTCCCATTGAACACTGGCCTCCCGCAGATGTGGGTGAGGCCAGTCCTGAAGAACCGCCTTCGCTCCTTGAACCAGAGCTAGAAAAGGAGAGTTTGACACAAGTTCCAAGTACTGTTCCTTGTGCTGTGGGCTCGCTTTCCAAACAGACACCCATTCCAGTGGGGAAAGGGCTGGAAGACTCTCCAGTGGGGAAGACCAGCACTGATGACCCAGGACAGTCTCTCCAGGCGCAGCCTGAAGTGGGGCAAGAAGAAGACGAGCTTCTGGGGTCTCCCCCCGGAAAACAACAAGGCGCCGTCCCTTCATCTGTCGAGGCCCGAGAAGTAACGTCCACCACTGCGCTCAGAAGAGGCGGGATGGGCAGCCCTGCCGGGGAGCCCCCAAGGCAGGGAGCCTCAGGCTCTGCGGGTCAATCTAGGTCTCCCGTGGGGGATGCAGATGGGGGTGGCGGGATGAGGCCTGCAGTTAAGGAAGTGGTGCCCCCTGTTCCCGTGGGCGAGTTGGTGCCTCCACTTGACTCTGCGATGCAGAGACACGAAGAGATGGGTCCAGATGCCTGTGAGGGCAGAAAGGAAATCGAGGGGCAGGTGTTGTTTTCCGAGCAGCTCTCTAGGGAAGAGGCGGGGGAGCAAGCCCCTGTGCTGGTCCGCGGGGACAGAGGTGACCCCCAGGAGGTGACGCCACAAAGGGCTGCCCCTGGAAATGCGTGGGACACGGGACATTCCCAGGAGGGTGCGGCTGTGGCTGGACCCCGGCCCGCTGCCCTGGCAGCTCGCCCTCCCCACCCATCCTCCAAGGGGAGCTTCTTGGGGGACCCCGCGCATGCGGCCAGCTCGGGGAGAGATGGTCCCTGTCTCAGGAGTCAGGGAGATGACACCCGGATGGCGCGGAACCAGAGCAAAGCCAGTGACCACAAGGGTCTGCTGTCTGACCCCCTGCTCGGCCTTCATTCCGCCTGCGAGGCAAAGCTCCCAGTCCCGGCCCATCTGGACTTGACCCTGCCTTCCATCCCCGAAGTCGCTTCAGAAGATGAGAGAGGAGATCAGCTTGAAGATGACAGAGGGGTGGCCCCAGTGGCAGCTCTGGGAGGAGGGGCTTCTTCCCCGAGCACGTGGCCCGCCCGTGCTGAGCGGGAGAGGGCGCCCAGCGGGGAGGCTGGCGGGTCAGCAGGGGTCCTGCGCGAGGCCAGGCCGGGAGCGCCCAGAGCACCTGCCCCCGCTTCTGCAGAGCAGACCACAGCCTTGGCGGTTCAGGAACCACAGTCGCCGGGCCCCGGTGACAGCGGGGAGGCAAAACCAGTGGGAGATGGGAGGCCGAGTCAGCCTCCAGCCACAGCCCTGGATTCCCTTGTGTCCGGCCCCCCCTGTTCTGAGCCCTTTCCTGCCACACGCTCTTTTCCCACCTGTGCACACTCTGACACCCACCACACCAGTACAGCAGAATCTCAAAAAAAAGCAGCAGTCGAGGGCTCCGCGGGTAAAGTGGAAAATTCTGGCAAGAGGAAGCCGCTTCTTCAGGCCTGGGTCTCACCCTCAGACACACAGCCAGTCTCGGCTCAGCCAAGCGCTGGAAGCGGGTCGGCCAAGCACAGGTGAGAGCCGGGGACGACTGTTCTCGTGAGTGTAAGCCGTGCCCCCTTTGCTTCTTGTCTCCAGACGCCAGGGCTTGCTCACCGCACAGCTGTTCTGACGGTGCGTCCGCCTGTGTTGCCGGAAGGGCTGTGTCCTGGGCCGGGAGCAGCATTTGTAGCTGCGTTTGTAGCAAGAACAGAGTAGCTGCTGTCCTCAGAGATAGATTCAGAATTGTTCTGCACGGTCTGATTTAGAGCTCTCCTTGCAGAGAAACACCGGGAGCCGTATCTTATTTCCTAGTCTCGGAAACCAGCTGAGATTGACCAGGAAAACCCAGCAGTGCGGACAGCTTACTTCAAGCAGCGCCCGATGGGAAGCTGGCCTGTTTGTTCTGAGCTCTTTCCTCCCTCTCGAGGCGCGCGCAGAGGGCTCTGCGGGGACTCCCACAGTGGAGTCCTAGGCTGCAGCTGCCTCTGAGAATAGGAGACCGTCTTTAACGTTCTCCTGACGTTGATAACGAGGCCAAGGGTTCTGTGAGAAGGTCAGGACACGTGGCTGGAAGTGGTGCCTTGTTGGCTTGCGCATGGCTGCCTCGCGCTGACTGCTTTCCTTTCTGAAGGAACGTTGGCACATGTGGGACTGCAGGTGTGAGCGCGCATGTCCCCCCCATTCCCCCGTCACCTCTCTCGTTGGCGGCCACGTCTGAGAGAGGCAGTCCCTCAGTTCCTCCGGTTCTGCCGTGACGTACACGTCTAAGGAAACAGCTAAGTGTCCTTTCCCCCTTCTCTTTAGACTTCATCCCGTGAAGCCGATGAACACGGCAGCCACCAAGGTCACTCTCTCCAGCTCGGGAACTGCCACCGTCATCAGTGAGAACTTGGTCAACGAAGCCATGATGAAGGTATGTCTTCTCCAGAAGGAGGCAGGTTAGTTAGGGATCTAGAAAACCTGCTGTGAGAGTCACCATGACATACATCTCCCGGGGCAGCAGGTAACGCCACGGGTGACTTAACCAAACGTCTCGGTCTCTGGATGATCTTTGGAAGCCCCTAAACTTTCCATGGGATACTTACTTTTCCCCTCATAGTTCTTTGGCTGTCGTTGAATTTTGTTGTGTGTCAAGCAACATGATTGACACCAGTACTTTTTTTTAATGAGAAGAAACTGTCACCCACCCTCCAGCCCATGCAGATCAGATATTCTCATTTTCCCCACATGTCCTTTCTTATCTTTTGGCAAGAATATACAATTCTCGCAGTTGTCATCATTGCACAGATAGACTTTTTTGTAACTTTATTCTGAAGTAATTTCAAACTTTAAAAAAGCTGCAAGAATAACACAAAGAGCTCCTGTATACTTCCATCCCAATTCACCAACTGTTGACATTTCACCAGATTTGCTTTATCATCCTCACCCTCTCCTACTCTGTTCTCTCTTTGTAGCTGCGTATATATTTTTTCTGAATTATTTGAGAGTAAGCTGCACACATCATGCTCCTTTTACCCCTAAATGCTTAAGTGTGTAATTCCTAAGAATGAAGGCGTTTATCAAAATGAAGAAATTTAACATGGATGCCTCTCTACTTTCTCATCTGCAGTCCGTATTTCACCTTCACCAGTTTTCCCAGTAGTGCGCTTTCTTGTCTGTCTGTTCTCCGGTCCAGGGTCACTCAGTTATCTCGTCTCGGGAGACTCCCTTATTCTGGAATCGTTCCTTGGCCTCTTTTGTCTTTCAAGACATTGACCTTTTTCAGAGTTTCAGTCAGTCGTTTGGTAGAACTTTCCTCAGTTTGGATTTGACTGATATCTCCCTGCGGTTTGGTCGAGGCTGGGCATTCTCGGCAGGAATTAACTAGAGAAATAACGTGCCCTTTCCAGTGCGTTGTGTAAAGAGCCCGTGACACCAGCCTGTCCTGTTAGTGGGGTGTTAACTCTGATGACAGGTTAGGTGGTGTCCACTAGGCTCTCCAGTGCAAAGTTGCTAGTTTTCCCCTTTACAGTTAGTAAGAAATGTGTGGGGAATTCATTTCAGACCGTGTAAGCCTCCTGTTCCTATCAGCCTTCTGCTGGCAGGCCTTCTGTCCACTGACGAACGTGGTGGTAGCAAAATGATGGTTCTCCAGCTCCATCACCTGCGTGGAAACGCTCTGAAATCCTCTTTTTCACTTAGTGTTATATCGTAAACACTTTTGCATGTTGCTACTTAATTATTCTTTGAGACGGTTATGCCAGCCTTTACTTACTCACTCCCCGGTTAGTGGATATTTAGCTTGTTTTCTATTTTTCAATATGAATAACACTGTCGTCAACAATTTCTCGCATAGAACTTTTCCCTTCTTGTAGGTGATTTCCGTAAGCTATATTTCCAGGAAGACTATTGCTGGATGAGAAGATCTCTGCTCTTTAAAAAGCTTGAGTGGCTAACACGAAAAAACCCAGCTCCTCTCCTTAAAACCAAAACCAATGCCCCCCAGATGATCTCTGCTGGAGAGTATCTTCATCCAGCCCTTTCTGATTCTAAAATCAGAGGGATTCAGATGTGTTATGTTTCAGACACGTGGACAGGAATTTCCTAACCCACCGCTGGGGATCGCAGTTGGGAGACATAAACTTTATTTCTATTTTACTGCAAGCATCTAGAAGTTTCATTCAGTCATAGATTTTTACGGTCCCAGGGACTCCAGGACGTCAAGTAGTTTTTGTGTTTTTAAAATAAAACTTTTGCTCACGTCTCCTTCACTCCTGCAAGAGTTTTGTAAGTGCCAGGCGGTGGCTGATACCTCTGGCTTTGTTGCACCTTTGCCTCCAGGCGCTGGGCTGAAGGTACACTGAAAGCTGGAGATTTTGGGGTCGAGAGGCTGAGAAGTAATAACGAACTGCTACTGAAAGCAAGTTAGCATCTTCTGTCCATCTTGCCTTCTCTTCCCTGTTGTCCATGCTGACAAGGCATCACTCTGTTAAGCATCATTCTCAAAATGATCAGCTGTAGCCAGAGCTGTGTACCTATGGTGATTTAGCCCAAAGCCTAAAGGTGGACCCTAACTTCTCCAGCTCAGCCTGCTGGCTTCTGTAGTTGTCCTCTTGGAGTTAATGATATTTACCGGGAAACTGGACAAAAGAACAGCATGAAAGGGACCATCACGAAAACTAGAGTCACTTAGCACCCCCCTCGCCCCATCCCCTCTTCCGTTTACTGTGGCATGCAGCTTGGCTCCGAAGAGAAGCAAGACCCCTGGTTCCCATTCTGCTTCCTCTTCAAAGCTCATTTAACCAGGGGCTTATCTCCGGGCCCTGACTGAGAGTAACTTTCCTTAAAACAAAGGCAACGGCTGCTTATTCTACTCATGATTTGTAAGTTCCGCTGCTGCCCCCCTGCCTGGATGCAACAAAGCTGTTGGTCCTGGACCATACCTGGTAACTACTCTGAGTAAACATGGAAAGGTTCCTGGAGACGGCTGTTGGCCGACCGTAGAATAGACGCTTTGTACTAAGGCATAAACAGTGCTTATAAAAATAACTACTCTTTGGAATGTTGCAAAGTGAGAGAGAGGTTAGGAAAAGAAATGGCATCGCTAAAGTTACGAAAAGCCAGCTGAATCATTACTACAATGGCTTTTTTTGTTGTTGTTGTTATTGTTTTAGGGCCGCCATCTTTTATAGATGATTAAAACTAGGAATGTATTATTTATTCAGGTGGCTTCCACACTTCCATTTAAAAATAATACAGCCAACTAGATCCAAAAATCATCTGTCATATTGTATGGGAACAGTTGGATACAAATTTGAATGTACGTCATTATTGGTACAGCTATGAGGGAAAAATCCAATGTAAAAATCCTGGAAGGAAATGTGTGACACTGGGCACTATTGTTTCTTGAATTAATGGGTATTTTCGTTGCACCTCTTCCTCTCCATGGCCATTACTCACTTTCTGTAATTGCTGGATTGCTTTTTAATTTTTTTAGTCATCGCATGAATAGGAACTTCTAATGATTTCAAAGTCCTGCATAGTTTCCTCTTTAGATTACAGAGTCCAAATCGAAGAGCTGTTTGTCCCTTTTCTTTTTTCTTTTTTTTTGCAGTATGTGGGCCTCTCACTGTTGCGGTGTCTCCCGTTGCGGAGCACAGGCTCCGGACGCGCAGGCTCAGAGGCCATGGCTCATGGGCCCAGCCGCTCCGCGGCATGTGGGATCATCCCGGACCGGGACACGAACCCACGTCCCCTGCATCGGCAGGCGGACTCTCAACCACTGCGCCACCAGGGAAGCCCCTCAAAGAGCTGTTTGACAGTTTGTAGGAAGTACCTTAAGTGTGCATGCCTTTTCAGTTCTATGCATTTGTCTTAAGGAAACACTTAGGGATGTGACCAAAGATTTATGGTCACACATTTAAATAAATGTTATTATATAATTGTGAAAATCAAAACCAACCTAAATATCCAGCAACAGAGAGATGGTTAAAATATAATGAAATTTAAAACATCCATTTAGGACTTCCCTGGTGGTGCAGCGGTTAAGAATCCGCCTGCCAATGCAGGAGACACGGGTTCGAGCCCTGGTCCGCGAAGATTGGTCCACAGAGCACCTAAGCCCATGCGCCACAATTACTGAGCCTGCACTCTAGGGCCTGCGAGCCACAACTACTGAGCCTGCGTGCCACAACTACTGAGGCTGCGTGCCTAGAGCCCGTGCCCCGTAGCAAGAGAAGCCACCACAATGAGAAGCCCACGCACCACAACAAAAAGTAGCCCCCACTCGCCGCAACTAGAGAAAGCCTGTGTGCAGCGACGAAGACCCAACACAGCGGAAAATAAAATAAATAAATAAATGAATAAATAAAATTAAACAAACAAAGAAAATCCATTTAAAAAGCAATTTTTCTAAAGTTTAATGATGGGAAAATGCTCACAAAATAATTTTCAAAAGCTATAAAACTCGATTTTGTATGATGCTAAAGTTGTGAAACATATCATAAAGAAAACCCAGGAAGGGAATTCCCTGGCGTCCAGTGGTTAGGACTTGACGGTTTCATTGCCGGGGCCCCGGGTTCAGTCCCTGGTCAGGGAACTAAGGTACCACAAGCCGTGCAGTGTGACAAATAAACAAAAACAAATAAACCAAACCAAATAAAAAACAACAACAAAAAAACCCCACAAACAAAACAAAACAGAAAAACAGGAAGAATAAGAAAGAAAGAGACCCCAATGTTAGGTGTTGGAGTTATGGGTAATAATTTTTTCCCTCTTCTGGATTTGAGATTTTCTATGATAAGTAAATATTCCTTTTATGATTCAAAATAAAATCTGTTATTTGGGGGGGAAATTAATTTTTTTTTTTTGCGCTACACAGCCTGCTGCTTCTTTCCCTCTCCCAAACTCTCTTGCAGAGCATCTTATGTAGTCAATATTTTTGAATAAATATAATCCTTCTGTGACAGAGGTATCATCTAAAACCCCTTGAGGATGTATTCTTGGCTATTGTTTACAAAGACTACTTTTTTCCTTGATAGGATATGTAAACAGACACACCCTATTTGAAAGTGTCAGGCACGTTTCTAAGCTAGTGTTGCCATCATCGTGATGTTCTTTGTAGCCAGGACAAGAGGGACGGGATTTCTTACGGGATTCTGGCCAGGTGTGCAGGCAGCTTGCGTCACTGGACTGAACAGGGTCTTCTCTTGTCAGGGTTGACCCTGCTCTTGACGTAGCTGCTTCTTGAAGCAGGTGGTTCTGAGCCTTCCTCGGTGAAACTGTCAGACCCTCACGACAGTGAAACCGTGATTACCTCAGAGTTCCGCCGGCAAAACTGTCTTGAGGTTGCCCCATGACGTTGTCTCTTTAAACTTATGAATCTGAGCCACAGATTTCAGGAAAAGTTAGCTCTGGGGCTTTTCCCCCTCTCACTAGAGACTTGGTACAGCGTGTTACTTTATATAATCCTTATCTTGCGTTTCCTCGTGGCTGGGGCCTGGGCAGTTTGCAGTCAGCCACCAGTCACCCCAGATTGTAAATGTAACTCCGTGGGGCTCCCGCTCTGGTCAGGACGGGGCTGCTCAGCCACTGTACCCAGAGGGGGCGCCATCGATGGCTGTGATGGTGGCCCTTGGCTTTGACTCTGCATAGTTTTGGGGAATGACTTACAGTGGGGTCTCCCAGTGCACCCTCCTAATCACCAGATATCTTGAGCACAGCCGAGGCAGTAGCAGACCTTCTGGGATGAGCGGCCACGTGTTGTCTTGGGAGGACAGTGTCGCCTCCTGCACCGTCTGCCACTAGGGTTTCTTCACAGGTCACCTTAGATTGGGGCTCAGCTCCACTTGGATGTCTGGTTGTGCCAGCTCCAGGGTTCACAGGCCACCAGTCATTACATCTCTAAACCCCAAGCCCAGAGTCTAGCCCAGGGGTCTGCAGCCTGTGAGCTGGGTACGGTTTGTACATTTTTAATAGGTCATAAAACAAAACACCAAACCAAACCACAAAGACGAACATGCAGCCAAGGCCAACTGTGGCCTGCACAGCCTGAAATACTAACTCTTTGGCCCTTTCACAGAAAAGTTCATCTGTCATCAGTTTTCCACTGAAATCAAAGACGAATTCCTAGGAGACTCAGATCACAGACTCAGTCACTAAAAGCTACCTCTTTTGTATTTCTTTAAGATGTTTGACTCCTTGACTGACTTTATCACTTTTCTTCCCCCACCTCCAAAGAAATACAAGCCCTCGGAACCCGCGTTTGCTTATGCACAGCTGACCCACGACGAGCTGATCCAGCTTGTCCTCAAACAGAAGGAAACGATAAGCAAGAAGGAGTGTCAGGTGCGCCAGCTGGAAGACTACATCGACAACCTGCTGGTCAGGGTCATGGAAGAGACCCCCAGCATCCTCCGGGTTCCCTCTCAGGTTGGCAAAAAAGCAGGAAAAATGTGAATCACTTGCCTACGGCACTGAGACTTTTGTGTGAGTTTGTTTCCGCCTGCTCCCAAGGCCGAGGACTCGGTGTGCCTGAGAGCCCCAGGGTCCAGGCTCCAGATCGTTCTCTCCCTCGCGCCTTATCTGGCAAGAGTCAGTCCCACCCACAGAAGCCAGGTTAATTATTACAATGAATCTTTTATTGGACATTCCCAGGGTTTTATTTTTAAATGCCACTGTGCCTTTAACCAAGTTGTAAATATTTTATGCCTGACCGGAGACATGGTCATTAGATCTGATCCTGGCCCAGAGGTTCAGATGGCGCTGGGGGTATTAATGTATTTTTAACATTGGGGTTTTCTTTCTTTAATATTGAGATTTTAAAGTACGTCTTCCGGGCTTCCCTGGTGGCACAGTGGTTGAGAATCAGCCTGCTAATGCAGGGGACACGGGTTCGAGCCCTGGTCTGGGAAGATCCCACATGCCGTGGAGCAACTAGGCCCGTGAGCCACAACTACTGAGCCTGCGCGTCTGGAGCCTGTGCTTGGCAATTAGAGAGGCCGCGATAGTCAGAGGCCCGTGCACCGCGATGAAGAGTTGCCCCCACTCGCTGCAACTAGAGAAAGCCCTTGCACAGAAACGAAGACCCAACACAGCCAAAAATAAATAAATAAAATTAAAAAAAAAAAAAAAGCCAATAGGGCTAGGAGGGAGAAACCATACCTTGGAAAAAATCTTTAAAAAATAAAAAAATTTAAAAATATATAAAGTACGTCTCCCCCAGTCATTAAAGCTTAGGGTGAGATCACAAGGACCAGGCAATTGGTACGGTGTTGCACACACTTTCTTGGCTTTTGAGTAGCTCAGCTGTGGCGTTTTGGCTGCAGATGCTAAGTTTTGTTACTATGTAAACCTACGCAGCTCCTCGGACTTGGTCTTTTGTTTTTGACTGGAGCAGAGGGGCTTAGGGTACGCCTCCGAGTGTGCCTCTGAGATTTGGAACAAGCTGCCTTTTCCAAACATCAGCCTCCACTACTCTGTAGCCTTAAAGTGTGCTCTTTATCATCCAAGAGGGGCTGTCTGTGGAGGTACGGAAAGTAGGCCAGGGGAATTAGAATCACTTTGCACTGGGGCAGTTGGTCAAAATCCCTCCTCTTGTGACCTCAGGGTCCCTGCTGGCTGGAGTGACCAAGTGAGTGCCTTGATTAGGGATCGGGTGACCCAAGCACTTGCTAAAACAGTCCCACCAGGTACGGAACAACTGCAGCGGCATCCACTGGCCCTCTCCCACGTGCTGTCGCTTGGCTCCCTGGTTCCCTTGGCAGCTCTTCTTGGCATTTCCCTCCCCCACCCCTTGTTATAAAATTGTAAAGAGCAAGATGATACCTATTTTTAGATGGCTGTATTTTTAAAACTAGATTAACATACTTTTTTTTTTTTTTAAACTAGGACACTTGCCCCCTTCTCAACTAATAGCACCAGTTCAGAGTCTTCAGGTAATTTCGTTGTTAGTAACCTGATATTGGAATTGGAATGTTTTCTGTATTACTCATTTTCTTCTCCCAGTTGTGACAGAATCTCATCAAATCCCAACATCTCTCCTGGGAGAAGAATGTCACAGGCCAAGTGGGTGGGCAGGGGTTGAGATGAGAGCGGTTGTTAAATGGAACGCTCTTCTATGTTCACTCTTGTTATATTGAAGTCAAGAGGCAAGGTGATTGGCAGCGGAATCCCTTTTCAGGATCATGTTTGCTTGCCACGTTAGTTAATATCAGAGCACTTTAATCTGAAGGATGATACTGTAACTTGATTTAGCTAATTTGCTTTTAATTATCGATAGCTCTTTTATTTAATACCCTCCTACAGTACTGGGGACCACTGTAAACTTCTCAGATGACTTGTATTTTTGTAGTGCTATGAGATTTATGTGCATCCCTATACAGAGAACTGGATATTCGCTTGAACTCTGCAAATGCACGTGTATATATTTGTTCTGCAATGTTTTTTACTTGATGTCAATGTACTTTGACGGTGATAACCCACGTGCACTGGGTGGCGGGAGCGCTAAGTGGTTTCTCCTCTGAAGAGCCGCTGCGGAGACCTGCATGCTTCCCGAGAGCTGGTTGTTGTGGAAAGATCTGCTGCTAGGACCTCGGGGATGGGACCCGGTCTCTGTTTGAGAGGAACGTCTGGGTGGAGGAGCAAATTCCTCTGCTCTGTATGCCACTTGAGAACTCTGGAGAATGAAGGACAATCTACTTTAAGGGTGTCTGGTTTCTACCACTGCTGGGAAAAAAATTCCACAGGTAGCATTCCTGCACCTCTCAAGGTCACTGGTTAACACCTGTCCTTGAGGACTCTGCTGTGAGGGAGAACTCAGCTAGGAAAGCTGGAGCCTGCTCTGAGCTGTTCGCAGGGGCAGGTGGACTGGAGGGCTGGAGCTTCTGCAGCCAGCGTGGGTCTGAGGGCTTACACCCAGCCGTCTATACCAGGAGAGCCTGAATTAGCCTCTAGCTGCTGAAAGTGCTCACCAAACTGATAGGCCCTAGGAGGAGGCCGTGCTCTGCAGAAGCAGGAACAGCTCTTTCTTGGCCTTGCCTGGCTGACCCCCTGGAAGACCAGTCAGTACTTCAGGGAAGCATCTGATGAAATACCAAACACCTTGCGATGAGGTCAGCGTCCGGAAAAAAATGTCAACCCTTTGCCCAGGTGTTTCATATCATCTCAGTCCTTGGACTTTGACAGATGTCCTGTCCACCCCTTTTATTTCCTGTGTGTCGGCCTCCCCGGGTAACAGAATGGAGGGGCAGGACTGTCTGTCCTTTGCCACACGAACAGCGTTGACCCTGAGTGGAGGGTGCGTGCATGGTGAGTGGGATGCGTGTGTGGTTTCCAGCTCTGCTAACAGTGGGGGCTCGGAAGGGCGCAGAGGGAGGAGAGCCCACGATACTCAGCCACCTGCTGGGTTGAAGGCCAGAGGCAACCTGATGTTAAATTAGGCACGATCTTCCCTGCCTGTGCCCCTTCTGTTTTAGATCGGCTAACGAATGGTCCCTCAAGGCTGAAGGATCTGTTGCCTTAGGCGGGTGGAGAGCCTAACCTCCAGTTAAGCTTAACCTCCACACCAGCCTCAACCCTGTGGTTTCTCAGTGTCTATCATGTGAGCTGCTAACTTGACCTCTTCCTCCCCCTGACTTGAAAGTTCACCCAGCGTCTCTGGATTACAGAATTATTTCCTGCTTTGTTACTTCGGGAATTCTGAATTTCTTTGCTTTTGTTTTTCAGAAGTAACCTAAAATTTCCTACAACACTAAATAAAATGGCGCTACCTTTCAAAGATTTGTGTCTGTGGTGTCATACGGGCGCAATAAGAATTTTTTTCTGTCTTCTTGGAAAACCCTTCTTGGGGGGTGTGACCGGCGTTTCTCACCCCATGAGGGTCTCT